ACTCCCTACACACAGCTCTTGCAACTTGACTGTAACTATTCCTAAAAATGACAAAGGTTAGTGTAACAAGGTCATGTCTAGGACCACATATCCTCAGTGCACCATATCAGACAGCAAACAGCACTGCCTCAGTTCTTCAGGAAGGTTCTCCTTACTTTTGGGTGGGCTGAAGTGCTTATGTTTCTGTGTGTGTTTATTGATGTATAACATGTAAAAATTTCATTTAATTTCCCTCTTTTGACTTCTTTGGAAATACAAAGCAAAACAAGACTTTAGAGTCACTCAGAAACGCACATGGGTGAGAGATCTGTCAGTTCTTAACTGAAAGACTGCAAGTGCTGAATTCCTACAAACAGCACTTACTTTCCTGTAATGGTTCCGCAAATTCAGTTTTGTGACAAAAGCTCAAAAGCAAAGACATTCTCATCTAGGCAGGACTGACTTACTGAAGGGACTTTTGCCTCAGTGCAAATTAAAATCAAACTCAGCATACTGTGAAGAGGAGAAATCACTTGTTCCAGCATAAATCAAGTTAACTTAGCTGATATCTATAGTGTCCTGAAAAGATCCATTCTCATGTGATTCACAGATTCAGAGGACTTGCATTGCTAAGGTAAAACTGAAGAAGATGCATAATGATCCTCAATCACTATACTGTTCACCTCTGCATATTACAAATACAGCAGAAAAGGACATATCTGGAGGTTTAGTGTTGTGGGGCTTTCAGGGGTAGTTTGAGGGGGTGGTGTGTGTTTGAGACTCTCGTTCCAGCCAGATTTACCATGTCTCTGCCACACATGGAAAGCAAAGCAATGACCTGTACATCTACCACCATACAAACATGCTCGTCAGTGAGTTTCTGTGGGGAAATCACACACCCCAGAAACACTTTAAGGTAGGAGATCAGATCTGAGGGAACCCCATCAAACAGTGATCTTTCTCCAGTTGTAGTGCTTTGCTCTACACAAAGGTCATAGAAGGGAGCTCTGTGACTCCATCATGGTTTAGGTTTTGTGTGCCTTATGACAGTGTCCCATAGGTTCAGTTCAGCAAAATGTAACGTGTCATTATTCTACTTGTTATCTCCAGCTAGGCACCAGCAATTTTGTAATTATAGGCAGGCAGATTCCTGAAAAGGTATTTCTATCTACTAGGAGGATATACAAATAGTATCAGTGATTCTTATCAGTGAATCTGGTTGGAAATGTTATTCATTTCAGTATTTAAGAATAGGTTTTCCAATGTGTAAAAGTCAAAGAGAGCAATTTGAAGACTTGAATTAAGCTGCGTGTTTGTGGGTTGGAGCTGAATGGGAACTGAAATGTTTTGTGGCTTCCACTGTCCTAATTCTGAAACACATGACTGGTTTCATTGGACACAGGTAGTTCGGGTAATGTGGGTGTTTTCAGTTTGAAATCTGCCTTTCTTAAAGTACTTTGTTAGAATACTGATATCCCTGTTTCCTAGTAGAGCAGGGAAAGAAAGACAGAAAGAAAGCCTAAATGTCATTACTAAAATTTAGAAGCCTGGAAGGCAGGAGACAGACCATTACAGGATCAAACTCTAGAAAAATCTTTACCTGTTGCTCAAAAGTGCAAAGTACAGTGTACAGCAAAGAAATTTAAGATGGTTGTCCTTTATTTGCATGAATATTTGTCCTGTGAGGTAGTATAACAACAGCTACAGAATTTATTTTTGGTAACAGAGACTAATATCCAAATTCAACTTTGGAGGGGAAGAAATCATAAAACAGACAAGATAAATACCACTATAAGGAAGAAGGAACTGTAATTATTTCACATGGAAATTTGGGCATGGGTGGAAGGAATTTGTAATTTATTTTTTCCAGTTTTATTCCTTGAGCCATTGCATAAGAAAACTCCTACAAGATTTTAGTGCCTGCCTTAGTCCTATCTCTATGGAGAAAGTTTGTAAACCTTTGTTTAAGTGTTTCATAAGAGCTCTGTGCTATTTTGGTTTCCTTAACAACATGTTTATTAAGTTACTCAAATCCATTCTTGACTTCTGAATTAAACATAGAAGTGAACTCTGCAGGAGTCCCAGCTTTCCCTACAACTTGGAAGGGATTTCAAGCTTGGGATGCAGTGTCTGAGGTTAATTCTCCAGTGGGTCCCAGTACTTAAGAAAAGGAACTGAGCACATTTCAGAGAAGGGGTAAAAGTCAGGGCCAAAGGAACTACTCCAGGTAATACTTTACGGTGGGCTAAGGAATCTTTGGGAAGGTGGTTGGACTGTTCCCTGCACTTTTCTTTTAGGATAACACTTTACTGGCATCAAGTACAGCCAACTGACACCACCATTAAAATAAAACAAACAAACAAACAAAAACACCAACAACCCCCCAAAACAATAGGTTAGGCCTTTTAAAAAAAGTTTTAGCCTCCCCTTGACACTTCAAATATAAGTGTCAAATTTTGTGCAGACATTTTATTTTGTTGGTGTTTTGATACACTCTTTACTTTTCAAGACTGGGCACTTTTCCAAAAGCTACACTCCACTTGTGGCTTGGATAATTTTGTGAATCACTGGGGCCCATTTTATTCATAGAGTCAGAGCTGATGATTATAGTCATCTCTTCTGATCTTAAAAGCTAGGCAAGCAACCCTACGCTAGCCAAGAAATCATAATGTTTCAAGTGGTAGAATTCTTTTTAATGAAATATCTCAGTAATCTGTAATTCTCCTAACACATCAACGACAATCAGAATCAAATGGAAGTTCCCTCTTTTTCTTAAAGCATGCCCCCTCCAATAATGTATTTTGTATCATGGCAGATATGTCTTCCCTTAGGACAGGCTGTTTCCAACTGGAGTGCCATAAGTCAAATCACTTTGATTTATTTTGTATAATTCAATTATTTTTGGTTGGTTTTTCCTTCAGCTGGGTAAGTTTTTCAGACATTTTCATTTCTGTGTTCAAGATGTAAAGAATCACACTTAGAAGTTATAATCAATTCATTCTATCTGGTGATTGCGGTTTTTTATGATTCCAGTGTCAATTTTTTTTCAGAACATTTCTCAATTCACCACATGAAAATGAGCACCTCTTACCATAGACCTTTCCATGTTTCTATCCATGGACCTTAACACTTATAACATAACTAAAATTTCTGAAGTTGAGATTTTAAACCACTAAAAATGCAGAAATTAACAAACATTAATTAACAAGAATTATATAAGTCCTGTATATCTAGTCAAACCCAAATCTTCCAAAGTTATTTAACAATGAAATGGAACATAATAGCTATATTTTTCATGTTATTTCACATCAAACAATTAACATTCTGGATTTTAAAATATCAATTAAAAAACCCACAAATGCTTATTTTTCATACCCTTAAAATATATAATGAAAAAAAATCTGCATATGCAGGAAAATAAATATGAAGAGATTTAATTCTGCTCAGTTTAACTCAGTCTGAATAATTTTGAAGCTAAAGGTATTAATTAAAAAGCAATTCCTCCATGACACACATTCAAAATGCATTTCCTCTTTCTTCAGGTGAAGTAGTTTTCATTGACTATAATATTGATGGTACTAAAAAAGTAAAAGATACAGAATAAAAAGAAGTCTTCTTCCACACAAAAAAAAAGGACAACCATGTACATGCATTTGTGTATGTATGTAAGTGCCACGTATAAGAAAAGAGATTGTACAGAGAAACCATGAAAAAGTATAAATCTATCTGCTCTATAACAGCTCAAATACAGCTGATGAAATTCCTGCATTTCTTTTCTAGGGAAAAATTGCAATGTTTTGAAATTTCCTTTCATTCTAAATCATAATTTGACCTCAAATTTCATAATACCCTTCAGGATAGGAAATATAAGAAAATCTATATTAGGTAATACTGAAATTAGTTTCGAAATTAACACGGTATAATTAATATCAGAAAATAAATTTTGAATCTACTGATGTGAAAAAATCTAGATCTTTTTTTTGTATATGTCAAATCAGTACATTATAGTGAAAGCTTTCTAGGCTGATATAAAATTATTTAATGTACATGGATGTAGTCATCACATTTGCACATATAATTGGAAGTCCTTCTACTAGAAAATTTAAAAATTGGTTTGCTTGATGTTTACCAATGCCACATTAGATCTCATAAAATAATCCTCTTTTACTGGGACAATGATAAAACCACAGTCCAAAATATTATGAGTGTAGGAGAACCCAAGCTTTGGCAGCATAGTTTTATCCTCCACCATCCAGATCATCAGAAACTTGGGGGCACAAGAAGGTATCTGTTCTTGTATTTCCTCTCTGGAGCAACCAGGAAGGACTCAGCCACTCATAGGGCAAGAGAGCTTTTGTGTCCAAGCAGCTGAACTACTGATAATGAGTTTTAATTTGCTGACAATGCTCAGCTGCACAGCCATGTCTGTGCTGCTTCCTCTGAACCACAATAGCAATGCTGCTTCCATCACTGCCAGCACAGTTCCTGCACCAGTAGTACAGTTTACATGCTGTCCTTCCTTGGGATTTGTACTTTAAAAAGTCAATTTTCATTCTGCTATAGCAGAATATTGCTATAAATTAGGAAGTCACCGGTGACCAATCAGAGCTGATCTTCCTACAGCTTTGTGTAACTTATTTGTAACTTCATTTTTGCAGAAGCTAGACTTCTATTCTTCTTTTGTCTATCTAGGAGCTACAAGAAATAAATTCACAATGAAGGAAATACTATCACAATTTCTGATAGCTTTTCCTCATGGTCAGTACAAATGATTTTTTGATTTGTTCTGGGATATGTAAGACTCTGGGTCTCACAGATCTGTAAACCATTACAGTTACTTTCTGCAGCTTTGCCCAACACAGCAGAGATTTCTCATTGTTTAGAGCATAGTTTAAAATTGTGCTTTTTCTGGCAAGGCAGGTTTGGTCAGTTAAGAACCAGGTGATCATCTGGTGGCTAAACAACAGATATGTATCACTGCATAAAAGAATGGGAAAGAAAGAAAAGTGTTTCACCTCCATAGCCATTAGTACACAGCCCAAATCTCTCCTGACACCACTGAGGCACATGATGAGTGTTGTTAGAATATTGAGAGCCACAGCTGATCACACCAAATGTCCACTGAGCCCAGGATTTGTCTCCAGCAGGATTTCTAAGAGCTGAGCAGGGAAAAGCAGAAAGAAGGCAGTCCCCACAGGTCATCCCACAGAACAACTATTTTTAACTGCACGTATTTTCTGAGTGGTTACAATTTCTGCAATTTAATAATTGTTACTAAATTTCTCATCCGTAGAGTTATGCAGTCTCTCCTTGAATCCATGTAAGCTTAGAGCAGCCCCCATGTCCTTTGGAAAAAGCTACACATCCAGTGTCATAGGAGCTTGGCTCCTATGAACTTCATTCAATGGTCCTGAGCTTTTGCATTGGGAGAGACAGCAAAAATCCAACTTTGCCCATTCTGTTCATCAATTTATGCTTTTAAACTGAGCAGCCCGAGTGTATGTAGACTGTTCCTGCTGTGGAAGTAGTTCCACCCTTTTTGGACTCCTGTGAACATGTCCCAGTTGTACTGTATTATATTTCAGATGAAAGTACACTCTTCAACACGTGGGTGAACACTGATTCACAGAGTTGCTCTCTAGTTTTTTTTTCTCATTTAACATTTGGTTAACGTTTTGGCTGCCTCTCAGCAGTGAGACAATGTTTTCATGGAACAAACTATTATAATCCCAGGATTGTGATCCTGAGTCATAATGGTCAGCTCAGAGCCTGTAATTTTGTATGTGAATTTGGGATTCATTTTTCCCACACGCATCAGTTTAGATCTATGCATATTAAATTCTTTTTGCCTGCACAGTCTCCTGAGGTACTTCTGTGCTTCCTCATGGGTGATCTTCATGTTTACTACCCCGAATAACCAACTTCCTATCATCCTCAAACTTTCTCACCTCCGTTCATCTACTCGTCCCAGGAGTTTACGGTAGGTTTACCAGGACAGACCCCAGCACAGATTCTGCAGAACTCCAGCAATGAGATCCATTGCATATTTTCTTGGTTTCCCTTAAAGGTCTTTGGCACTGGACTTTATCAAAAGTCTTTCAGAAATACAAGTATAGCAACTATCTCACCCTTATTCACTTCCTTGTCGACCTCTTCAAAGACCTCCCATAGATTTGTAAAGCACGGGTTACGTTCCATCAAAGTCAGCCATGGTATGAATAGTTTTCATTTCCTTTTCATTTTAGTCAACACAATCAGATAACAGTCAGTGGATCACAGCCTAAATGTAAGTGGAAGCATCTCTGCTTATTTAACAGATTGTGCTCGTTTCAACCAAGACAAGACTGGGCCACTGAAGTACCAGCTGCTTGTGGGTTTCTGCTGAATCTGATTTTCCCACTGGGGATCTGTAGGCATAGCCATGGGGACCCTGAGAGCTACAGCTGACTGTGTAAGAGGGACCGCCATCTAGGGTGCTGTAAAAGGCCTAAGGAGAGTTGGAAGCTCATTAGCAGCCCCTGGTTTCCTAAGTTTCCCTAGGAATCTCAACCCGATGAAGTTATAGATAGGAGATACCAAATGAGGATCACACTGACATGGAGAACTGGGGAAGTGCTGAATTTCCTATATCCATCATGTCCTTGTTTCAGGGAGATGTCACATCCTGCTGCTCAGGACAAGCACACCAGCAAGGGCAAAATGACAGAACAACTCATATTTCTGTTATTCCAGGAATATTTGCCTCTGTCCTCTCTGTAGGTTCTGTAAACATCCAGCTATGACAGGGAAAAAGAACACATGATCTACAGTCTTCATAGCTGCAAGAGCTTTCAGTCACAGTTGGGCATTTCTGTATATCCCTTTTTCTATTGAAAAGTAAATGTCAAAGAAAAAAATTATCTTTTTCCATCCTTTCCCACCCCTCTCCCTCCCCCCATGCTATGAACTGTATGTTCATTTATAATAACATGGAAGAAAATGGATGCAAAATTTTAAATAAAAATGAAACAGGAGGACAGATCTTGCAGAACAGGAGCTTAGCAAACAGGAATGCGATCTCTGCAATTCACTGTTCTGAGAACATTAACAATAAATTTAAAAAATACTTCCAGGAATAAGCCAGAGGCTGTGCTGGTATCAATCATGTTTCTGTGGAGCATAGGTACAATGCAAAGAGCACTGCAGAGAGCAGTAAACAGATGGGCTTCCACTCCACCACGTTTTACTGAGCATTTGTGCACTCATATTATCAAAAAGGAGGAGAAAAAAATATCTTTTATCTTATTTTTTACCAATTTAATACCTTTTATGGAACATGGGTTTGTCTCTCTTTGTCCTTCTGTTTTATAGGGGGGAATATGAATTATGGATTCTGAAAAGGAATAAATAAAAAGAAGTATGAAAGCAAATGTGGCTAAGGTCTCCGATTTTCTAAAATTTAATTATTAGCAGTAAATAGTTGCCTTTTAAGAGTAGCCCTAATTGGCTATTACCAACAGTAGCTAACAATTTCAAGGCAATTAATATTTTTAAATAATGAGATGGCCAATATATTACATTAGAGCATACAGTAAGCAGAAATCTTGCTAATTATATATATTATTCTCCCTACTTTGCTTAATGAAGGTGTCTGGCTTGTAGATTAATTCATTCTTGCTCTATTTTTTATTTTTTTTAATCAGTGTAACTAATCCTCCCACACACTATTGTAGCATTAAAGGAGAAAGATGTGAATGAAGCAGTGAAAGAAGCACAAAGAAAAGAACATTAAAATGAAGATTTAGTTCCAAGTTTCAGAAGCAGTTGCCCAAAGTAAAGAATTAAGATGTGGGAAATTAGACAGAAAACGCAGAAGCCTGAGTCAACATTTATTTAACACCTTCTGCCTAATGCTGAAAATGTAAATCTTCACAGAGGTAATCACACCCAGATCATTCTGATCTTTAGAACATAGCAATTCTTCTGACAAAGATATTACCACTCCACAGTTTAAATGATTGTTTTTCCTGTTTTCTCAAAAGCAGAGATAGGAGGGGGCTTGGATAGATGGAGATTTCTTCCAAATTGGGAGCTAATCTTTCAGGAAAGAATAGCAATGAATGAATTATTTACAGTCAAAATCTTCTCATTTGTATAAGTCTACTACATTTTGCTCTCAAATATTTGAGCGTGTCTGTGTGCTCAGTTTGCTGCTGCGATTGCACAAGATAATTACCTTTGCCAAAAGCCAGAATATACAAGTTTTCCTGTGCTGTGTACCAGAAACGCAGTGCATTGTGCACTTTACCCCTGGGCTGAAGAAACAATTCCAAACTCCCTGGGAAAATAATCCCTGTTTTGGAGAGAGGAAAGTAGAGGAAGCACTTCCTTTGGCGCACCCCAGTGAGACACAGGGCACTACCGTGTCCTGAGCTCAGCCCTGCACAACCCATGTACACACATGGATCACACAGTCCCACACCAGGGCTCAGGGCCTCTGCCCAAACTCCGAGAAAGCCCTTTTCTGATTTCTTAGTAAAGCCCAAGCAGGACTGAATAGCTAAAACATCATAACAGCATGAGGAAATGTAAGGTCAACCTCCACTTACTCACCCTACTGCATCTCCTACATGTATGAAATCCTCTTTAGGATCCAGTAGGAGCTGTTAGTCAGCACAAAAACAACTGCTCAGTAAACAGGACAAAATCACAAAAGGAACTGTTTCAGTGTGGCAAATGTCTCTCAAACATCAAACCAAAGTCATATTTTAGCTGTGAGCTCGATGGTAACTTACGGACAAATGGAATGGCAATAAAAGTTGCCCATTCTATGGAACGTAAAATAAAGCCTTTACACCGACAATGCCTTAACAGATTTGTGCATTTGAGACACAACACAGCACAGTAAATGATGATGTCTGCTAAATGAGCATATTCATTTGTAAGCACCCAGAAGACACGCACCTTCATCCCAACACCAGCATGCCCCTTAATTAAACATACAGCAGTGAGTATGGGTTCCCAGTTATGCACACAGCAATAGCTCACACACAGATTGCAATTTGTACACACTTACTCTCTTTTGTCCTAGACCATACCCATCAGACACACAACACCATCTTTGTCTCCTGTGTTTGCACCATGTGAAGGAGGAAGCAGTCTTTTTCCAAAACTGAAACTTCTCAAAATACTGTTCTTCTACTTTTGTTTTTCATATTGTAACCCTGATAATGGATGTTGGCTCTTGGAAACCAAGACTCAGGCAGGGACATATGAGGTAGGTTAATAATAAGTGAATACATAAATGCATCCCAACTCTCTGAACACGATTTTATAGTTTTGTTTCTGTAGTTGCTAGAGCACAAATAGATGCAATCTGTTGAGGTTCTCTCACTGTTGTGAAAAATCTTGCTACTCAGGTCTTGAGCTGCTCAAAGTATTTTTTCATGTAGTGCTATGTAGCAGATGACCAATTACTTTTCTGATCAGAAATCCAAAGGATAGTAAATAATACTGTAAAAGACATCTAAGAGGAAAATTTACCCGTAAATTCCAACTTCTGTAGCAGTTTCTCTTGGGTACTAGTTTGTCTAAGACCTTTTTCTGATTTCAAGTCCCTGGAGAACGCAAGACTAACATGAGACATTTAACATACGCATCTACTTATCAAAACATAAATAAATTACCAGTTTGTTGGAATATGTTGCAGTACGTACCCTGCAGCAGAGATAAAGACTAACCTTGGCCCACAGATCACATGATAGCTCAACAAACTGCTGCTTTGTACCTTATCTGTCTTTGGTACCCACACATGGTGCCTGAGCTTCAAGCCAGCTCCATAACTTTTCAACCATTACAGCAAATAAATTAAAAAAGAGCAGGACAGGCTTGAGGCAAGTGTTCAATTGTCATTAGAGTGAGCAGTGGCTCCCTCCAGTAAAATAACCCTGCTTTAATATTCAGTCTCATTATGGTCCTTTGAGGACTGATGTGACAATGGGAGAGGGGATAAAAGAGCTTAGATATACAATTATAGATATACACACACTCATGTGTAGGATATCAGTGTGTCTCTATATCCTACTCCCAAAATGGGTAGAATCCAGTGAAGATGATAAGAGATGGATAAAATGTCCTTTCTGGTGTCTCCCATCACTTGGCAAATGCTCATTATCGAGCTGCCAGTAGAGACAGAGACCTTGTTCCCACACCAACCTCAAGGACTGACATGGGCCAGGTAGACATTACCAGCTTCCCTTTAAATAAAACTGGAGAGAAGGATTTTATGCTTCCATGCCCTGAGAAAAAGGTACCAGGGGAGGAACACAGACTTTCTTGCAGGCACAGAGGCCTCTTTTCAAAACACGCAGAGGAAACATCAGATTTGGGGTTGCCAAGTACCTGATTTCAGGGTTCATTCTGTTACTGCATATAAATGTCTCTGGTGTGTGTTTGGCACGACATGTTATCCTAGACTGATCATATGTTCACAGATTGCGGAGAGTGTGTGAAAGCCTTTTTTGCTGTAGTTATTGGGCGAAGTCACGTCTGTTACCTGGTACTCATGCAGAGAAATCTGTAATCTGGGAACAGATGGTCTGACTGAGTGAGTGAGAGAGAGAGAGAGAGAGACGCTGTCTGGAAGACTGCAGAGTTTTTCACTCAGAGGAGAGGAAAGAGGAATGAACAAACCCACCACAGCATGACAAAAACATGAAAATATAGAAGAATGTCAGTCCTGAAGGTCATTCCTTTAGAATTCACCAACTGTCTATATACCATATGTGCACATCAACACACCAAAGAGAACCCACCATCCTGTTGCACAGAGCCGGAGGTGGCTTACACAGCCAAAAATTGTGGAATCATAGACTTACCATTTAAAAAAGCAACACACTCCATAGTCTAGGCATAGAGTCTGAAAAGAATCTGAAAAAATATATAGCAACTTCTGCTCTGGAATTTTTACAAAATTTGATAGCAATAGGCCAGAATGGGAAAATTCACATCCTAGTCTTCAAGCACTGTCTTTGCGGGATACGTTGGATCTGAAACTTTTCCAGCAACTCAAGAGATGCAGTCTGAGCCTGGCTTTGAAGTCCAAGTGCCTCTAGAATTGGTGACAAATGTTGTCAGGACAAGCCCATCCTTCCCAAACAGTTAAATGAAACTGGCTATTTTTACTAAAATGCAGCATTACATTACTCCAAAATAAAATTAATTGGATCTAAACTGTCATAAAATCTTATTTAGCCTTCTTGACAGTGGGATTTTGGGAAACAGCTCCCAGAATGACACTGTGTAACAGGTACTTAGGGAAAGCAGGACCTAGTGACAAAACCCTCCAGCCCTGTGAATTACACACAGCAAGGACTATCAGCATGGGCCCTGCTAAAAGCTGGTCACATAAAACCTGCCACAGGAGAAGGAAAAAGGGGAGAATCAGGGCATTTCCCTGGGTGAACCACTGGATGAAAGAAGTGGTGTTCCCCTTACACAAAACTGATTTGAAAAGATAATCAAGCCCTAATCGAAGAGGATGGTTTCCTCTAGAAACTATAAACATGAGAGGTTGCAATATCACCAAATGATTGCCTGAATGAGACTGAACTTTTAGCCCTTTCAGCCTACAGCCAAAAGCTCTACTTGTAACACACCAGATGAAACCGATTTTAAGAACACTTCATTTTAGCCAGCACAAGATTTTACATTTGGGTTCTATCCAGTACTTCAATTTTTCACAAGAAATCCACATTGTCAGATATAGACAAGCAACCCTATATTTTATTATTTGTTCTTCCAGTAATGTGTCAATCAATTTGCAGAATCAATTTTCAAATAGGACCAAAAGTTTTTTTGCCTCTCAATAAAACTGAGTGACTTCAATGAAACATTAAAGGGCAAAATTCCTCTTCCCTCTCCTCTTTCTGTCCCAGCAAACGGTAGCAGAGGCAGAGCAGGGTAACAAGATCCATGTTGCCGATGGAGTGAAAAAAATCCATTCTTTAACAGTAACAAAGTGATCTATCATACCTCATGTCTAAACTACAGAAGAAGACAACATCCTTCTGGTTGGTCGCAGTTATTAAAAGTAATTGCTAGGAGCCAAAAGCTGGCTAAGACTCTCTGGAAAAGTATAAAGTATCTTACAGGGGAAATGAAATACAACATTTCATTGTGCAATACAAAAAAAAGGCTTTGACTACAGCTTTAGGTGTTAGCCAAGTCATTTATGTAGATGGTGATCCTGCAAACATGCAAAAAGGGCAAATATCAACCTAAAAGCCCAGAAACAGCATCTTTGCTCTCCTCTCACTTGCAAATGTTTACGCTTCTGAGGCAGGAGGAATTCGTATCACATGGGTATTACAAAGGCTGCGATACCTTTTTTTC